TTTGGATTCATGGGAATAATCACATCTTTCTATCATTCGCCACTCAAAATAATGCACACCCCCACACACTGGGGGGAAATGGCTCCTGTTGGAATTCAACAACAAGTGTTGCAATTTCAGCAAATTTTTATCTGCAAAAGTTTTCTTAATCAACATAACTGTGCTCCAGAGGAAAAGCTGTTATGCCTGAATATCTTCTAGCCAGGCTGCCGCCTCTGCTGCCCTGGCTCCTTGGATGGCCTCCGCTGTCAGCATAGACAGGCGCTGTAGTCCATGCATGCCCAGCGAGCACCCAGCTCAGTCTCTGGCACTGGAAATGCCTTCCTGAGAGGGGCTTACATGGGGCTGGCCTGATTCTCCGCACACAGTATGTGCTCATTATATGCTGATTGGAGAATGGCTGTTCTCACTTTCTCTCTGGCAGGTTGGGCACCATATTGTTCTTTTCGCTGTCCTTGGTCATTGCCCTCAGCTGCTTGTGGAGTCCCTGGAAGGCACAAACGTTAAGCACTCAACTGCTAAGCAAATGGTTGGTGGTTCGAACCCACCCAAAGGCGCCTCAGAGGAAAGGCCTGGCAATCTGCTTCCAAAAGGTCACAGCTGTGAAAACACTATGAAGCACAGTTCTACTCTGCACACGTAGGGTCACCGTGAGTCAGTCAGCTGGAAGGTAACTGGTTTGGTTTGGTTTGGGTTTTGGCTGCTTGTACTTGCAACTCTTCATTCTTCAAAATAGTCTTTAGCGGTGTGCATCATGATCCAATCTTTTAGAAACAAACCTAAAATACATTCTTTTTGTTTGTTTGTTTATTGTTGTAGTTTAAATGAAGTTTACATTTCAAGTTAGTCTCCCATACAAAAATTTATGCATACATTGTTATGTGACCCTAATTGCTCTCCCCGTACTGCGACAGCACACTCCTTTCTACCCCGATTCCCCATGTCCATTCAACCAGCTCCTAACCCTCTCTGCCTTCCCATCTCGCCTCCAGACAGAAGCTGCCCATTTAGTCTCTTGTATCTACTTGAGCTAAGAGGCACATGCCTCACGAGTATCACTTTATGTCCCACAGTCCAGTCCAATCCCTGTCTGAAGAGTTGGCCTCGGAAATTGTTTTATTTCTGGGCTGATAGAGAATCCAGGGGCCATGCTTTTTGGGGTTCCTCCAGTCTCAGTCAGACCATTAAGTCTCGTCTTCTTACTACAGTTTGAGTTCTGCACCCCACCTTTCTCCTGCTCCATCAGGGACTCTCCGTTGTGTTCCCTGTCAGGGCGGTCATTGGTGATGCAGGCACCATCTAGTTCTTCTGGTCTCAGGCTGATGAAGTCTCTGGTTTATGTGGCCCTTTCTATCTCTTGGGCTAATACTTTCCTTGTGTCTTCGGTGTTCTTCATTCTCCTTTACTCCAGGTGGTTGGGACCAATTGATGCATCTTAGATGGCCACTTGCAAGCCCTAAAATTCATTCTTTTTGTTGGTTTGTTGGTTGGTTGGTTTAAAGATTTGTCTAAATTGGACGGAGTGATGATTTGTAACTTCTTTTCAGTTCCCAAAGATAATAGATTTGGCTCTGCATTGGTATATAGAAAATAATATGCACTGTTCAACTAACCTACTCACTTATTTCTACTCTCCAACAACAACAAAACCAGTAGCCATTAGGTTTTATGAGTCTTCTATGTTCCAGAGGCAACGCTGGGTGCTTGGCACATATGTGTTATCTCAGTTACCATTCACAGCGACTCTGGAAGTAGGTATCATTAGCCCCATTTATAGATAAGGCGTTTGAGGTTCAGCGAAGGGCTCCTCAATAACTGTTGTTGTTAGATGCCATCGAGTCGATTCTGACTCATAGCGACCCTATGTACAACAGAACCAAACACTGCTAGTCCTGCCCCATCCTCACAATCGTTGCTATGTTTGAGCCCACTGTTGCAGCCACTGTGTCAGTCCATCTCACCTAGGGTCTTCCTCTTTTTCCCTGACCCTCTATTTTACCAAGCATGTTGTCCTTCTCCAGGGACTGGTCCCTCCTTCTAACATGTCCAAAGTATGTGAGATGAAGTCTCACCAACCTTGCTTCCAAGGAGCACTCTAGCTGTATTTCTTCCAAGACAGATTTGTTTGTTCTTCTGGCAGTCCATGGTATATTCAATATTCTTCACTAACACCATAATTTAAAGGCATCAATTCTTTGGTCTTCCTTATTCATTGTCCAGCTTTCACACGCATATGAGGCGACTGAAAATATTACAGCTTGGGTCAGGCACACCTTAGTCCTTAAAGTGACATCTTTGCTTTTTAACACTGTAAAGAGGTCTTTTGCAGCTGATTTGATTTCCTGACTGCTGCTTCCATGGGCATTGATTGTGGATCCAAGTAAAATGAAAGTTTTCTCCATTTATCATGATGTTGTTTATTGGTCCAGTTGTGAGGATTTTTGTTTTCTTTATGTTGAGGTGTAATCCATACTGAAGGCTGTAGTCTTTGATCTTCATCAGTAAGTGCTTCAAGTCCTTTTTGCTTTCAGAAAGCAAGGTTGTGTCACCTTTATATTGCAGGTTGTTAATGAGTATTCCACAAATCCTGATACCACATTCTTCTTCATATAGTCCAGCTTCTCAGATTATTTGCTCAGCATACAGATTCAATAAATGTGGTGAAAGGATGCAACACCTTTCTTGATTTTAAACCATGCAATATCCCCTTGCTCTGTTCGAAAGACTACCACTTGGTCTATATACAGGTTCCTCATGAGCACAATTAAGTGTTCTGGAATTCCCATTCTTCATAATGTTATCCATAATTTGTTATGATCCACACAGTTGAATGCCTTTACCTAATCAATAAAATACAGGTAAACATCTTTCTAGTATTCTCTGCTTTCAGCCAAGATCCATTTGACATCAGCAATGATAGCCTTCATTCCTCATCCTTTTCTGAATCCAGCTTGAATTTCGGGCAGTCCCCTCTCAATGTACTGCTGCAATAACTACAAACATAATATTCCTCCCTTATTTGCTTGACAATGTCCCAATGGCACTTGTCACATACTGCAGTATGGCTTTGGGGTTTGACGGGCGCGGGTCTGAATCCCAGCCCTACTCTTTACTTTGGTGGGACTTTGGGCAAGTTACTCACACCCTCCTAGGACCATTGCCCTGGGGTGCAGGGTAGGCTGGTGGGGGACCAGAAGCTGCACACCTCCTCCAGGCAGCCAACCACCCTCAGTGGTGAGTATTGAAGCCATAAGGAAGGGAGCTGGCAGGTGCTACCATGGAGTGTCTTAGGGGACATTGGTGGCTCCGTGGTAGAATGCTCGCCTTCTGTGTGGGAGACCTGGTTTTGATTCCCGACCAATGCACCTCCTGAGCAGCCACCACCCCTCCTTCATTTAAGGCTTGTGTGTTGCTACTATGATGCTGAACAAGTTTCAGTGGAGTTTCCAGACTAAGGCAGACTAGGAAGAAAGGCCTGGTGATCTACTTCCAAAAATGGGCCACTGAAAACCCTATGGATCACAACGGTCTGATCCACAACCAGTCATAGTGATAGCACAGGCCGACACCATGGCCACCAACAACAACAACAACATGGAGTGTCTAGTTCTGGATCAGCTCCCCTCCTGTCTAGGGCATTCTGGATGGACAGGTGATTCTCCAGCTCCGCCAAGTCTCAACACCCTCAAGAAGCCTCCTCCGTGGAGCTGGGGTTGGGTCATGACTTCCAGTTCCTAGAAGTAGCTTGAGGTCTTTTGAGAGGATATAAACTTCTCATGCTTCCCAAAATACTCCCCAGAATTGGTCTCTAGGACCACCGCAACCTGAACGCAGTGGCAGGGGGGCCCCACAGCTCCTCCCTGTTTAACTGTGATAGGTTTAGCACCTCCACCCGCTCGTCAGCAAAGGGACCTCCTTGCTGGAAGTCACAGAATTCAAAGTATTACCATATGTTCAGGGCCGAATTACCCAGTGAGCAAGGTATGCACAGGCCCAATTGTGCCTTCCCTCCAATCCACAGTGCATAATTTCACCTGTCCCCCACCATGTCAAAGATGTGGTGAAACCCATGTAAAATTACTCACTATAGATTAGCAAGTAAATACAATAAGCCTGTGCATACCTTGCTCAATGCAAGCCGTTGCATACTGGGTTTAGTGGTTAATCTGCCCCTGCAGTGTTTACTAAGGTGACCCAGGAAAATTTAGCCATCAGCAGGTTAAGAGTAGCAAAGGGCTCTTTGATATTTGCAACACTGCGTCAGAAAGGTCCCTGCAGAACTGTTACTGCTGTCAGTTCCTGGTTATAAATATTTAAAGGTCTGCACCCAGAATGCCAAATCTGGATATCAGCTCTGCAAACAAAACCACCTACGAGTTTTCCATCTCGTACCACACATTTCCTAAATTATACATGCCCCAAATCGAGCTGTCCCTGGCCCTACCTTATACAGTGGCTTGGCTGCTGCCAGGTGACCCAGGGTAAGTCAGCTCAAAGGCGACTGACGTTTTTATTTGCAGTCTGTTCTCAGTCCCTGACCTCAGAGAAACGGCTTTCATGAGAGGTTAGGACTCTGCGTGGTGGGGCTGGGAGGAGGCAGCTGCTCCTGGGAAGAAGTCCATTCTGGTACATTCTGACCTGCCATGTGAGGTCTTTGAAGAGTAATGGACTCTTTTCTCAAGAAGGAGGTCCCTGGATGGCACAAGCTGTTTGCTCTCAACTACTAACCTAAAGGTTGGAGGTTTGAACCCACCCAGCAGCACCACAGAGAAAGGCCTGGCAATCTGCTTCTGTACAGAAAACCCTATGGGGCAGTTCTACTCTGTAACACATGGGGTCGCCATGAGTTCAAATAGACTAGGCCACAGGTTATCTCAAGAAGGCTTTCTCTTCCCTCCTTCCCCTCACCTGATGAACACCTGAAACTTCCAGTCTAGGCCACATCTATACCAGCATCAGCACATTTTGGCAGCAATAGTTTGAAAGGACATCAAATCTACCTTTGCCCAAGGCCTTGAGAGTTGTCTGGCAATTTCTGCTTCTTCTCCAGTTCCCTAGTAGAGGGGGCAGTGCTGGGGTAAAACGATACTTCTCTGCATTGAGCAGTTTCTGTCTAGAAAGAAGCAGAGGAAAAAAAGAAGTAGCTGACCACAGGTGTAAGTGAGGGAGAAGGACCATATTAGTGGCTCTCAGTCTTTAGCTTAAAAGTCAGCTGAGGTGCTGGTTAAAATGCAGACTCCTGGGCTCCCTCCCCAGGGATCCGAGTTCATTAGTCCCAATTCCCCTCTGGATGGCTTGCAGGCCATACTGGAGTAAGCCTAGTGATCACTTAGTCTGCCCCAGTGGGTCCATCCTGAGGTTTAAGACTTCACTGATACCCTTGACTCCCAGCATGGGGACAGGCAGACCTCATACTACCAAACCCTCAGCCCATCACTTCCCCTCTGCTATCCAGCGTAGCCCGGGCTTTCTGGTTAAATCCCTGACCATGCTGTCACCCTCAATAACAACAGCTCAGATTTCCTGGGTTCTTCTTCCTCTGCAGTCAGGGATATCCCAAGAGCAAGGCAACAAGAAACAGGAGAGGCTGGTTTGCAGCTGGGGAAGAGGCTCTTGGATCCATCTTTGCCCTCCACTGCCTGGTCTCCCTGATCTATCCCCTCCTCTCGTCGGCACCTTGGTCATTTCTTACACATCGTGATGAGAGAAGCACAATCATATCAGGGCTGAGAAGAACCTTCAAGAGGATCTGGTCCCACCTGCTTACTTTCCAAGTAAGGCAACTAGAGATGAAAGAGGTGGAGGAACTTGCTTAAGATCACACGGCCAGCAGAGGCAATCGTGGGATTCACACTCAGGCTCTGTGGCTCCAGCACCCCTGCTCTATCTTGTGCTCTATACGGTGCACAGACGCAGGGAGAAAGCCATACGAAGAGTGGCAGACAGACAGACTGTCAGGAAGTCAGGAAGACATGTGAAGTTTGGGGGCAAGGCTATCCTTATGCTAATCTTGTAATTTTGTTCTTCTATCAGCATGGAGTCCCTGGGTAGTACAAACGGTTAACACGCATGGCTGCTAATCAAAAGGTTGGCAGTTCAAGACCACTGTCTCGGATTGAACTGTGTCTCCCAGAAATATCTGTCAACTTGACTAAGTCATGATTCCCAGTACTGTATAACTGTCCATCATTTTGTCATCTGATGTGATTTCCCTTTGTGTTGTAAATCCTGTCTCTATGATGTTGCTGACATGGAATTAGCAGCAGTTTGTAAACTCAATCTACAAGATTAATCTACAACTTGAGCCAATCTCTTATGCGGTATAAAAGAGAGACGCGAGCAGAGAGACAGGTAGACCTCATACCACCGAGAAACAAGAGCTAGGAAAATAGTGCGTCCTTTGGACCTGAGGTCTCTGCACTGAGAAGCTCCTAATTCAGGAAATATTGATGATAAGGACCTTCCTCCAGAGCCAACAGAGAAAGAAAGCCTTCCCCCGGAGATGATGCTCTGAATTTGGACTTCTAGCCTACTAGACTGTGAGAGAATAAACTTCTGTTGTTGAAGCCATCTATTTGTCGTATTTCCATTATAGCAGTCCTAGATAACCAAGAAAGCAGCACTAGATGACTGAGACAACCACTCAGAAGTGTCTCGGAAGAAAGGCTTGGTGATCTACTTCTGAAAGTTCACAGCCATGAAAACCCCACAGAGCGCAGTTTTACTCTGACATACATGAGGTCCCCATGAGTCAGAGAAGACTTGATTACAACTGGTAACCGGCCAGCATGTGGGCAGAAAAACAGGCAAAGTCCACAGGCTATCTTGATGATTTGTAAGCACTGGTTACATCAGAGAGGGAATTAGAACTCCAACAGTCCATCTATTTGGCTTCTATCACTGCTTCTTTCCCCTAACTCATAAGAAGAGGCAGGCAGGATGGGCGGCACAAAGAGCCAGAATCGGGCTCCAAGCCTGAAGATTCTGCTTCCAACTCTGCCTCTTCCTAACTGTGACCTTGGGCATGCAACTCTCCTCCTCTCAGCATCAGTTTCCTTGTCGGTAAATTGAGGAGAGATCGTACCAGGTGACTACCTCTGAATCCCTCCTCGACACGTGTAGATCCCTGTACAGCTGAGGTTGATAGTAAATGTCTCCATCACTTGCATTTTTTTTTTTTTGTGGTGAAAATATACCCAACAAAACACATGCCAATTCAACAATGTCTACAAATAGAATTCAGTGGCATTGATTACATTCTTCAAGTCGCACAACTATTCTTGCTATCCTTTTCCAAATTGTTCCACCACCATTAACATAAATTCAATGCCCCCTAAGCAAAAAACTCCCCCTTTTCCCCTCCCTTCCACCCTTGGTAACCACTAATAAGCTTTGGTCGCTATTTGCTGATTTCATATAAGTGAGATCATACAGGGTTTACCCTTTTGCATCTGACTGATTTGGCTCAGCGTGATGGTGTCAAGGTTCATCCATGTTGTAGCATGCATCAGGACTTCATTTCTCTGGTCACTTGCATTTTTATTGACCAGCTTTGTGTCAGCTCAGACCTCCATCCCCATCCATGGAGAGAACATTTCCATCCCTTGTACCTCTCCTCAGGTTCCACAGCAGAATTCTGCCCCTGACAGACATGTAGAGAATATTGCTGTGGGGTGGTGCCCAGGGCCAGAGCAAACTGGAGATCTCCCCACATCCCGGCAAAGCTGCCCCTTCTGTAGAGTTCTGCATGCTCTCCTCCCAGCCAAGGAGCTACCCTGGAGCTTAGGGGGCTTGAGGAGGCAACCAGCAGATCTGAGTGCGCTGTCATCTCACGGTGACTAGGCAAGAAGCCAGCCTATCTCCCTAACCCTGTGAGGCTGCTCCTCCCAGCCTTTACAGATATCTGGTGGAGACAAAGCAATAGTCATTTTGCTTCTTGCTTGGGTTTTCTGGGGCCCCTTGGGGTTTTCTTGATTAAACAAAGTGTTCAGTCTCTTAAAAGTATCCCTCAGTCCCTACCTTTGACAAGTAGCAGCTGTATTACCAATAGCTAGTCAAGTCCATCTCTTCTTCGATGTCCATGTCTTCCATCCTCCCATGGCAGGGTGACAGGCTCAACCCTGGACTCATAAAGCTGCAGGGTGGTCTCCAGATCATGCCCCTCGATGACTGCGTGAGAGGAAACGGGCACAAATTACCACATGGGAGAGATTTCTGGTCACGCATTTAATGTTCCTGGGTAGATGGCATAATAGTCGGGGCTGTGAACTCCAAACATCCATGGTCCTGGAATGTCCTGGAGGCAGTGCTGCCTGGAGGCACAGGGTTGTTCTAACTGGAGGCATAGGTTCAGAGCTTTGGACCGCTGATGTTTAATTTAGTGGTTAGAAGCTGGGCTAAATGCTTTGATCTCTGGATGGGCCAGTCCATTTGGCTTTAACTCAGTGACCTAGAACCCACTCCTGACTCTGACTTGGTGAATTTCATGGTAATAATCCAAAAGGAAAACCAAAAAGAAAGACTGCACCTCAACTCCTCCCAAGCTAGTGTACGACCTCAAAGCAACTTGAAATGCTGACATTGATTCTGTGATGATATGTACGAAGGAGACAGAGTTATGAAAATCAGTGTCAAAGGCTTTCTTGTTGTTGCCATTGAGTTGGCTCCAAATTATGGCAACTTACGTATAACAAAATGAAACGTTGCCCAATTCTGTGCCATCTTCATGATCGTTGGTATGTTTGACTCCACTGTTGAGGCTATTGTGTCAATCTGTCTCATGGAGGGGTTCCCTCATTTTTGCTGACCCTTTACTTTACCATGATGTCCTCCTGTAGCAATTAGTCTTTCCTAATCATGTGAACAAAGTACGCAAGCTGACGTCTTGCCATCCTCTATAAAACCCAGTATCACATTTGCTCCAAAGGTAAGAACAGTTTCTACTTCTTCTACACTATCCTTATGCTAATGTTGTTGTCAGGCGCCTGTCTTAGTCATCTAGTGCTGCTACAACAGAAATACCACAAGTGGATGGCTCCAACAAAGAGAAATTCGTTCTCTCACTGTCCAGTAGGCTATAAATCCAAATTCAAGGTATCAGCTCCAAGGAAAGGCCCTCTCTCTCTGTCAGCTCTGGAAAAAGATCCCTGTGATGCATCAGTCCTCGCCTGGTCTGGGAGCATCTCAGTGCAGGAACCTCAGGTCCAAAGGACGCGCTCTGCTCCCGGCACTGCTCTCTTGGTGGTATGAGGTTCCCATGTCTCTCTGCTCGCCTCTCTCTTTTATATCTCAAAAGAGATTGGCTTAAGACACTACCTAATCTTGTAGACCTCATCAGTATAACTGCCGCTAATCCATCTTATTACATCACAGAGATAGAGTTTACAACACATAAGGAAATCACATCAGATTACAAAATGGTACACAATCATACAATACTGGGAATCATGACTCAGCCAACTTGACAGATATTTTTTGGGGGACATAATTCAATCCATGACCGTGCCTTTGAGTCAAAACACTACACGGTTCTGCCCCATCCTCACAATCATTGCTATGTTTGAGCCCATTTTTGCAGCCACTGTGTCAGTTCATCTTGTTGAGGGTCTTCCTCTTTTTCGCTGACCCTTTACTTTACCGAGTATGATGTCCTTCTCCAGAGACTGGTCCCTCCTGGTAACACGTCCAAAGTTCTAAGAAGCATTCTGGCTATACTTCTTCCAAGACACATTTGTTCGTTCTTCTGGCAGTCCATGGTATATTCAATATTCTTCATCAACACCATTATTCAAAGGCATCAATGGTTCTTGCTAATATCCAGATAAAATTCCACTTCAACAAATGCCATTGTAATACACACGTTTTCTCACAACCCAGCTGTTTTCTCGTCTCATGTGCAGTGGTTCTTTGTTGACTTGTTATGACATTCCTTCAGAAAGAGTCATTTTGTTCAACAAACTCATTATGCTCCTCTTTTAGACAGAACACTTCTCTTTCTCATGACAGTAATGGATTGATGGTATCTACCCTGCAAGAAGAGAGGCAGCTCAGAGTTCAATGTAGTTGTGTCTAGACGTCATGGCCTCCAGCAAGCAGCAATTTCCTTTTTATTTCCCTCTTACCTCCTTTCCATGCCCCAAGTCCTGCTAACATACTGTTATGGGTTAAATTGTGTCCCCCTAAAAAGATATGTTGAAGTCATAACCTCAAGTACTTACGAATGTGGACTCGTTTGGAAATAGGGTCTTTGAAAATGTTATCAGTTAACATAGTTAACAATGGCTAATGTTTCAGAAGTAGATCACCAGGCCTTTCTTCCAAGGTGCCTTTGGGTGCACTCGACCCTCCAGTCTTTCTGTTGGCAGCTGAGCACATATTTTGAACCCCAGCTGAGCACATTTGTCTTTTAACCACAGTGCTTAATACCCTACTTGGTACATGTTTATTGAGAGTTTATTGAACTAGGAACTTGATAGCAAGGAAAGGGAGATGGGAAGTGGGGCTATCGGCTGGATAAGAGAAGGAGAATGGCTGAAGATATGTGGGTAGGCATACAGAGGCTAAGGATCCCTGGCTGTGCAATGGTTAAGAGCTCAACTGCCAACCAAAAGGTCAGTGGTTCAAATCCACCAGCTGCTCCGTTGGAGAAGGACCTGACAATCTTCTCGCATAAAGACAACAGCCTAGGAAACCCTATGGGGAAGTTCTACTCTGTCCTATAGGGTCGCTGTGAGTTGGAATCGACTTGACAGCACATAACAACAACAAAGACAGTGGCTGCCACCACCCATCTGTCAATTTGTCATACAAATTGGCATGTGTGTTGCTGTGATGCGGAAGCAATGCCACCATATTTTAGATACCAACAGGGTCACTCATGGTGGACAGGTTTCAGTGGAGCTTCCAGACTAAGACAGATTAGGAAAAAAGACCTGGCAATCTACTTCTGAAAATTAGCTGATGAAAACCATATCCTTTACAATAAAACATTGCCCCACTAGCTTGCTTGAACACATCATCAGAAAGAATCGATCGCTGGAGAAGGACATCATGTTTGGTGAAGAAGAGGGCCAGAAGAGGGCAAGGGAGATCCTATCTATCCATCCATCCATCAATCCATCCATTCATCCATCCATCCATCCACCCATCATCTGTCTCTCTCTCATGTATCTATCTATCTATGTATCTATCTATCCGTCTATCCATGTATCTATCATCTATCTATCTATCTACCTATTTATCTATCTAGACAGAGACTGAATAGGCTGGAAAGACACTATATGACGTGGTTTGTAAAATAATTATTTCTACCTTTATTATGCACCTGGGTACCACATGTGCATAGAAATATTTTAACGCAATTGGATCTCCTTAAATTTTAAAGATTCCCATGTAAACATCAAACTTTAAGTTAGAATGGGATTAAGATATTGAAAAAGGGATTTAGGCCAACAAAAAGCACATGTAATAAAGGGCATTTATATTTTACAGGGGATTTTCTGGAATCTGGAGAATCTTTTGGATGAAGTATGGCCTGGGATTCCTAAACCTTAGAAGTCCTCAAACTATGTTCAGTATTTTTAAAAGTCCCATCGAAGTCCTATCCCTACCTGGTAAACCTCCACAGGCTCATGAAAATGTCCCATTTTGCTTGCTTTGGGCAAGAATTGTATTAACCCCATGTGATGACCTTGGTTATCCTTTGCTGCTCAATATCTTGAAATGGCAACTGTATGTATCTTTGATTATTTTTTAATGGAAACATGGATCAACTAATTAACAAATTACAAGTCGTTTGGTAGCAAACTCTTTCCAAACAAAGGGGCCCAGAGGGTGGAGGAAAGGGGCAGGCAATGACAGGAGTTTCTGGTGAAGGGAAGGTGGGACCTACAGACTGGACGCTTGCTGCGCTCCGTCAACGCCCAAGAGCTTAGGGAAGTTAGCGCAGCCGCTTACAGCATGGCACTCATGGGGGATGGCTTCTGTGTCTGGATTCACATTCACATACAGGCGCCACGAGCGAGCCGGCTCAGGGCAGCCACCCAGCAGACCAGGGCATCAAGAAGGGGCAGTGTGCACAGCAGCAATGGCAGCAGTAAAAAAAAAGAAAAGACAATTGCCATCAAGTCGATTCAGGCTCATGGTGACCCCACGTGTGTCAGAGAACTGTGCTCCATAGGATTTTCAACGGCCATTTTTTAAGAAATAGATCGCCAGGCCTTTCTTTCGAGGCACCTCTGAGTAGACTCGAACCTCTAGCTTTTTGGTTTGCAGCTGAGCACGTTAACCTTTTGCATCACCCACAAACTCCAAAATCAGTTGCCATTGAGTCAACTTTGAGCCATGTGTGTCATAGTACAACTGTGCTCCATAGCGTTTACATGGCTGATTTTTTGGAAGTACATCTCCAGAACTATGCATTGAGTCTTGGCTGTGGGGGGCAGTTCGGTGGGCGTGTGGGAGCACTCACCCTCGCCCGGCTGCCTGACATTAAATCCCAGCTCTATCCCTTGCTAGGCCTGTGGCTTCTTTGTGCCTCAGTTTCCTCAATTGTAAAATGATGACGATTGTGGTTACCCTCCCCCCTCCCTCCGCGGGGTTGTCGTGAGGATCAAATAATGTAACATATAAAGCACTTGGAAGCGTGTCAGGAAGGGAAGGAGCCTCCCGTAAAGTGGACTCTGGCTCTAGACTGACGCTGCACTTGGCAAACGGCTTCTCAGAGTCTCCAGAACAGTCCCACAGGGAGGTGCTATTATCATCTCCATTCTACAGATGAGAAAACCGCCGCCGCCAAGAGAGTTGAAGGAACTGGGCCGAGGTTACCGAGCTCCGCAGTGGCACAGGCTGAACTCGAACACAGCTTCGCTGTTCCCAGCCTCCCTTCCCCACCCCAGTGCGGGGGTGTGCCCTGCCTGGGAGCCCCTCATTTCCTCACTCACTGCGTGCCTGTGGGCAATCACCAGGTTCCCTTGTTTTCACCTGTAAAACTAGAGGTTGGTACAGGGATCTCCCGGTTCCTCCCCGGGGCAGCGTGCGGAGACGCACATACTGTCCGCCCTGCACAAGCCCTCCCAGCAGTCGAAGGGGCTCTGTGCACACCCTGCTCAGCGCCCTGGGCCGCCAGGCACATCCGTGCCCATTTCAGCTCAGCCTCGACCTCCCCGTTA